GACACCTGCATCCCATATTGGTGTGCCTAGCTTGATTCCTAGCTCTGCCCCCTGATTCCAGCTTCCTGCAAATGTAGATCCTGGGAGTCAGTGGTGATGATTCCAGTAATTGGGTTCCTGTCACAAACATGGGAGACCTAGATTGTGTTTCTAGCTCCTAGCTCTGTTTGTGGCCGAGCTCTGGCAGTTACAGGCATTAGGAAATAACCAGTAGATAGAAGTTCTTTCTTTTTCTTGCCTTCACTCTCTTGTTCTTGTGCTTTCTCTCTCTTTCTCAAATAAGTAAATAAAAATAATAAAATCTGTGTATTTTGTCACATTAACAGAAAACATTCAAGTGAATATTTCAGTGTATAAAGGCAAAGATAAAATTCATGTTGTATACTCCTAGCAAGCCAAAACCAGAGGAAAACTTCTGTAATCACATAAAAGATATGAGATTTCCAAAAAACAAACTTAAGGGAGCCATAGCTTGCTAAGATGAAATGTTGATTTCTTTCCTTCCAGGTTTGAGGACAAGGCATTGATGCCCACCATCACCATTGTTGTTAAACATATTGCTAGAATAGACACTGCAGAAAAGCAAGAATTAGAAAGAAAAGGTGTAACTGCTTAAAGAAATAAAACTGTCAGTACTGTTAGGTGATATAGTTTTGGAAACAATCTATCCATAGATCATGGACTTTTTAGAAAATTAAAAGAAATGTGACTATCAAATACTTTTAAAAAATCAGTTTATGCTAGCAAACCGTTAGACATTGAAATTAATAGCAAATGTCATTTATAAAAGAAGCAAAACCTAAGAAGTTTCTTAACTAAATCGGGTCAAAAAATTACAGAAACCCTAGTGGGAAACTTATGAAACCTAGCGGAAAGAATGTTATATGCGAATGTATTCCTGAGTGTATTTTAACCTGGCAAATCAAACTTTAAATATTTTTATGGCAATACAAATTGTCCAGCATAACCAAGACGTTCTTAGAAAAGAACAAGATGGAATGACTTGGCCTACCAGGCATCAAGGCTTATTATAAAGCCATAGTAACTAAGATGTGGATCACTGTTTCAAGGTAAACAAATAAATTAAGTGAATCGAATAAAGAGCCCAAGTCAGATCCATGTATGTATGGATCCTTGATCTCTGATCACTGAGAAGACAGAGTTTTTAAAAAAATCTTCCTGGTATTATTGAATATCCATATAGTAAAACTAAAATCAGATTGCTATTTTTCTCTGTACAAAAGAATAGCATCACGTGTACTTGGATTCATGATATAAATATTAAAGGCAAAACTTATGAAGCTTGTAAGGGCTTTAGAAGATAGTGTAAGAAAATGTCATGATTACTTAAGGGTTGGGAAATACACAAACACAGTAAAGATAAGCTGGACTGCATTACAATTTAGACCTTGGGTTTATCAGAAGGTGCCAGCGAGAGAGTGAACAGGTGGTCTTCAGAGTGGGTGAAGATACTTGCAGTGTGCTAGTGTAAAGAATGAATCAGTGGCTTTTACCTTTAGGGAGGGGGTGAATGAAAGATTGGGATAGGGAAGGAATACATGAGAAGGTGTGGGTGGTTTCCAGTGTTCCTGTTCTTGAGAGGACAGCGTGACTCTCCTTTAAACTGAAAATATGTTTTATACCTTTGGATATATATGTATTTCTTCACAAACAATGAGAACAAGAGAGAAATACATTTGTTGACTGTTAGTTTGCTAGGGCTGCTATAGCAAAACACCTCAGAAATTCATTTTCTCAGTGTGACAGCTAGAAGTCCAAGATTGAGTTGTCAGCAGAGTTGGTTTCTTATTAGGCCTCTCTCCTTGGCTTATGGATGGTCACCTTGCTATATCCTTGTGTGGTCTTTCCTCTGCGTGGAAAATCCCTGGAATCTCTGCAGATTTCCTCTTATAAGAACACCAGTCAGATTGGATTAGTGCCTACTCCAAGATGTCTCCTTTTTATTTTTTTTTGTTATTATTATTTTTTTCTTTGACAGGCAGAGTGGACAGTGAGAGAGACAGAGAGAAAGGTCTTCCCTTGCCGTTGGTTCACCCTCCAATGGCTGCCGCGGCCGGCGCGCTGTGGCAGGCGCACCGCGCTGATCCGATGGCAGGAGCCAGGTACTTCTCCTGGTCTCCCATGGGGTTCAGGGCCCAAGCACTTGGGCCATCCTCCACTGCACTCCCTGGCCACAGCAGAGAGCTGGCCTGGAAGAGGGGCAACTGGGACAGAATCCGGCGCCCCGACCGGGACTAGAACCTGGTGTGCCAGCGCCACAAGGCGGAGGATTAGCCTAGTGAGTCGCGGCGTCGGCTTCTCCTTTTGATTTAATCACTCACATAAATGCCCTGTTTGTAAACAGGGCCTCTTTCTGAGCTATTGGGGATGAGGCTTCAGTATAGGAATTTGGAGATGTAGTTCAACCTGTAACTGTATAGTAAAGATCTTCAATATGAAAGGGTTCTTGGGAATTGGATAAAATTTCCTAAGCCACCTTCTGGATTCAAAAGTGCTCTCCCTATAAGAATCTAAGAACTAAAGATGTATTTTGGAGAACAATTTTAAATAGCTCAAATATGAATTTAGTGCTGTTGCTGATAACTATGCACATGTGAACTTGGAATACAATTGATTTTTGAAAATGTAAAAGTGATAAAAATCAATTTTTAAAGATTTTTTAAGAGATTTTATTTATTTGAGAGGTAGGGTTAAAGACAGAGAAAGGGAGGGACAGAGAGAAAGGTCTACCATCCACTGGTTCATTCCCCAATGACTGTAATGGCTGAAGCTGAGCCAATCCGAAGCCTGGACCTTCTTTGAGGTCTCCCACATGGCTGCAGGGGTCTAAGCACTTGGGCCATCTTCCACTGCTTTCCCAGGTCATAAGCAGAGAGCTGGATCAGAAGAGGAGCAGCTGGGACATGAACCAGTGTCCATATGGGATGCTGGTGCCAGCCCCTAAAGATTTTTTTAAGTCATATATAAATTTACATGTCTTTCTCTTAAATGAATATAAAATATAACAAAATGAGAAATATAAGTAGATCTTTTAGGTCTCATCTGCATCCCTGACATTTATAAATTGCCATTGGTCAACAGTTTTATACATGGTGAATATTTGAAAAGTATAAAATAATACAGTAAGCACAGTGCTTTGCCTTGAAGGACACCTGAGGTTTTCTTGTGGAAGTAGGCATCAGAAGGGTTGTAGAATGAGTTCTTGTGAAGTGACAGAAGCTCTCTGAAATTGGAGGGAAAGTTGTAAATCTCAGATATGGATGGGTATGGCTCATCATAGGTGATAGACAGGTTGCTGGGAGATGTTGGAATGGTGGGTGCAGTTTTCTGTGTTCATCTAGGTTTTCTTTCAGATAAAATCATGCACAAGAAATACAAATTCTTGCTAGGCTAAAATTGTGAATATATTAATAATATTGGAAAAAATTGATACTTCCAAACAGCATTATAGCAGAGCTTACTGTACTTAATTTAGTGTATCATTGTAGCCCTATCTTGTCATTTTATATATTTTATAAGGATTCTGGATTAAGTTCTTCTTATTGAAGGATTGAATTGGTTCCTTAATACTTGAATGATACATAACAACTTAACTATGTTGGTGAATTTTAGGTTTTCCCAGGCTAGTGAGTAAGTAATTTGTATGTGAAACCAGATTTTTGCTTGAGTTTGGTGATCAGTGTGATAACACAAAAAACTTTACATCTTACCTTTAGTGGCCTCCTTATTTTTGGTCTTGATACCACAGTACCAACATGAAACAATATACAAGAAAGCATATGAATGGTTGTGTTTTGGGGGTCCTTGTCATCCACTTGTTTTTATCCAATGTGGAAATTTTATTCCAAAGTTTGGCAACCCAGGCTTCCAGGAGATGTCTTAGTTTTCCGGGCTCTCTCTGTTTCTCCTCTGGTCTGTTTGGTAACCACAGTGAGGGTGGATGAAATGCATGTTTTCCTTTCCTTCTACCACACTATCTTTGGTTTACTCATGAGACCAGGATACCAAGAAATTACAGAACTCATTCAAAATGCAGGGAAAACAAACATAAAGGAATCATCAGAACAGCTCTCTTCATTTCAGTCTTTATCTGATCATCCAGCCACCACTGCCAAACACTCTGCTGCATTGTAGACATTTAAAGACATGGTCCATCCTTCAGGAAATATGTGATTTATTTAGAGAAGGGATGGAAAGCCTTTTTTCTGCCAAGGACCATTGGATATTTATAACATCATTCATGGGCCATACAAAATTATCAAGGTAAAAATTAGCTTGATATTGCTTTATTGAATTTTGAGTCCCACCTGTAATTGCCTTGGTAAAGGCAAAACCAAATGATCTTGCAGGCTTCATATGGCCTATGGGTCAGATGTTCCCCAACCTGGATTTAGAGAGCACTCAACATTGCAAAATTCCAAGACAGTATGATATGTGACACACATGGATGGATGTGTGCCCAGATTCTGTAGAAACATCAAGGAATACCTAGACCAGAAGGAGAAATGGGCATGCTGGGGAGAAAAACTGATTTTCTGGTTCAAGACATGAAAATGCTTGTGCATTCAAACTGTTTAGCAGTATAATAATAAAATTTCCTTTGTAGACCAAAGATTGTTTGCCATCTGTGTTTTGGTTTATGGTTTAATGTTGTCATTGTCATTGTTTGTTTTGTGTGGGCTCTTTTGGGCCACAAGTAATTTAAAAAATGGACAAAGCTAACTTGAAACTCTAGGATTGAGTGTTTTTTTTTTTTTTGACACATTAGCGTAGTAAAGACATATGTTAGCTTGATACTATAAATTAAAAAGTTATTTTTGAAATTTTCAAATATTTATAAAGTGGAACAAAAAATAGAGAAGGAGGTTGTTCTTTTAAAACAATAAGGGAGGCATGTATGGCCTGAGTTTTGAATATTGCAACCGTAAGAAACTCTTCAAATTGTTTTTAAGACTTTCTTTTTCTTCTTTTTTTAATAGGACCTCTTTGTTGTTAGACATGAATTGGCCATAATGAGACTAGCTGCTTTTATGGGCATTACTATGTTAGTTGGAATAACTGGACTCTTTTATACGCAACTGATTGGCATCATTACAGTAAGTATATTTTTAATGTAAGTGATGTATTTATGAACATATTACCTAATTATGAACTGAATTTTTAAAAGTTATGAGAGGTTTAGAAATGAAAGAGAAGCATTCATTAGCTTTAATATAATTCTATTTTCTTATACCTGTGTAATTTCAAAGTAGTTTTAATCAGGTATAGAATTACATATAATTATGTATCTTTTTTAAAAAAACTAACAAAAAACATTTTTATATGACTAAAAACTTGGTGTTTATAGCCTTTAATAGTTACATATACTCTGTTTAGTGAATTAACTATTTTCTTGTTTGACATCTAGTGTGCAGCGTTGTTTTTTTTTATGTATGTATCTCATAAACACAACATTAGGAACATAATAATTCTTCCCACTGTACCTGCTCAACCTCACTCTCCACCATTTCTCCTCCCTCTCCTGTTTAGTCCGAGAAAGATAAAGAAACATAAAGAAAGAAATAAAAAAGAATGGAATAAAAAAACTAACAGAACTGTTCCTCAACAGTGTAGACAAGGGATATTCTATGTTATTGCTTCTCGAAGGTGATTTTGCTTTTTTCCTCCCCTTCCTCTTTTCCCTTCTTCCTCCTCTTTCTTTTCTTTTAGAAACTTAATTGTCTTTAAAGAAGAACTCAAGGATGGTACATCTCTTGTGAGCTCTTAGATATAACTAACTTATGAGACATAGTAAATGGAGGTGATTCTTGAGAACAAGTTTTACTATTAGGTCTCACAGTACAACTCTTTGGGGACAGAGGTCCTGCATGAGAAGTTAGCACACAGTGATTCTTGTTTATTTAACAAATTACATTGTTTTGTATGACATCAGTGATCATCCAAGGCTCTTGACATGAGTTGCCTTGGCTATGGAAGCATTTTGGATCCACTAGCTCAACAAGGCCATAAGCAATGTAGAAATTTTCTCCTCCCTTTAGAGAAAAGTACATCCTTCTTTGGTGGTGATTTCTTTCCACTGGGGTCTCACCCAAAGGGGTCCTTTATGTAGGACCTTTTTTTCCTACAGTGTCTTGGCTTTCCATGCCTGAAATGCTCCTCCTGGGCTTTCCAGCTAAACTGGAATGCCTTTAGGGCTGATTCTGAGGTCAGAGTGCTACTTAAAGCTATAGTCATTCTATGAGTCTACTGTATGGACTGCTTCCTATGTTGGAGCCTTCACTCATTTTTAATTCTGTCTATTGTTGTTTTCAAACACTTAGTCCTATTTATATGATCACTTTACACTTGATCCTATCTATGTGGTCCCTTTACCACTTGTTCCTATCCATTTGATCTTTATAACACTTAAGTTGTTATTTTTATCAGCCCCCTTAAGGGATTTGGGGGTCTTATGGCTAGTTGTTAAGTTGTACCATTAAAAAGAAGTTCTTATGAGTGTATGTAGGACTATACTGCTTTACAGTTGTCAACTTCATACATTACACAATTACAACTTTAAGATCTTGGTAACTCTTCCCACTGTGCCCACCATCCTCCCCCTGATTCCTTTCTCCTTACTTGTTCTTTGCTAAGATCTGTTTACATTTAACTTTATACATATATGATTACCTCTATGTTAATTATAGAGTTCAGTGAATTGTGTTAAAGAGAAAAAGATTAGGAAAGTATTATAAAGGAAAAGATAAACAAAAATATAGAATAAGAATCTGTTCGTCAACAGTGGAGAGAAGGGCTATTCCCAATTATTGCTTCTCATAGTTTCAGTTTCACTTCTATAGATTTCCTTTTAGGTGATCAGTTGTCACAGATAAGGGAGAACATATGATATTTGTCCCTTTGGGACTGGCTTATTTCACTCAGTATGGTATTTTCCAGATTCCTCCATTTTGTTGCAAATGACTGGATTTCATTTTTTTTTCGCTGCTGTGTAGTATTCCATAGAGTACGTGTCCCATAATTTCTTTTACCAGTCTTCCATTGAGGGGCATTTAGGTTGATTCCATGTCTTAGCTATTATGAATTGAGGTGCAATAAACATGGAGATACAAATGGCTCTTTCATGTGCTATTTCATTTTCCTTGGGTAGATTCCCAGGAGTGGGATGGCTGGGTCATATAGAAGGTCTATATTCAGACCTGTGAGGTATCTCCACACTGTCTCCCATAGTGGCTTTACCAGTTTACATTCCCCCCAACAGTGGATTAGGGTAGCTTTTCTCAAATCCTAACCAGTGTTGTTGTTTGTTAATTTCTATATGAAAGCCATTCTAATGGGGATGAGGTAAAACCTTTTTTGTTTTGATCTGCATTTCTCTGATAGCAAGTGATCCTGAGCATTTTTTCATGTGTCTGTTGGCCATTTAGATTTCCTCTTTTGAAAAATGTCTGTTTAAGTCCTTTGTCCATTTCTTTACTGGGTTGTTTGTTTTGTTGTTGAGTTTCTTAATCTCTTTATATATTCTGATTATTAATCCTTTGACAGTTGCATAGTTTGCAAATATGTTCTTTTTTTTTATTTGACAGGCAGAGTTAGAGAGAGAGAGATAGAGAGAAAGGTCTTCCTTCCGTTGGTTCACTCCCCAAATGGCTGCTACGGCCGGCATGCTGCGCCGATCCGAAGCCAGGAGCCAGGTGCTTGCTCCTGGTCTCCCATGCAGGTGCAGGGAACCAAGAACTTGGGCCATCCTCCACTGCCCTCCTGGGCTACAGCAGAGAGCTGGACTGGAAGAGGAGCAACCGGGACTAGAACTGGGTGCCTATTTGGGATGCTGGCACTGCAGGCAGAGGATTAACCAAGTGAGCCATGGTGCTGGCCCCATAAATATGTTCTCCCATTCTGTCAGTTGTCTCTTTACCTTGTGATTATTTATGTGCAGGGCAGAAGCTTCTTAATTTGATGTAAACCCCATTTGTTGATTTTGGCTTTAATTGCTGTACCTCTGGGGTCTTTTCCAAGAACTCTTTGTCTATGTGGATGTCTTATAGGGTTTCTCTAATGTTCTCTAGTAATTTGATGTTGTCGGGTCATAGATTTAGGTCTTTAGTCCATTTTGAGTGGAATTTGGTGCAAGGTGTCAAGTAGAGGTCTTGCTTCATGCTTCTGCATGTGGTAATCCAGTTTTCCCAGCAGCATTTGTTGAAGAGCCTGTCCTTGCTCCAAGGGTTGATTTTAGCTCCTTTGAAAAGAAGTATAAGAGTGGGCACCCTTGTTTGGTTCCTGATCTCAGTAGAATTGCTTCCAATTTTTTCCTGTTCAATAGGACACTGGCTGTAGGTTTGTCATAAATTGCCTTGATTGTGGTGAGCAATGTTTCTTCCTGTTCCCAATTTGTTTAAAGTTTTCATCATAAAATGGTGTTGTATTTTGTCAAAAGCTTTCTCTGTCTATTGAGATAATCATATGGTTTTTGTTCTTCAGTTTGTTAATGTGATGCATCACTTTGATTTGTGAATGTTGAACTATCCCTGCATGCCACAAATAAATCCCACTTGGTCCGGGTGGATGATTTTTTTAATGTGTTAGATTCAATTGTTGAGGATTTTTGTGTCTATCTTCATCAGAGAGATTGTAGTTCTTTTTGTCTGTTGTATCTTTTCCAGGTTCAGTAATTAAGGTGATGGCTTCATAGAGTTTGGGAAGATTCCCTTCTTTTTGATGTTTTGAATATCTGGAGAAGAATTGGAATAAGTTCTTTAAATGTTTGGTAAAATTCAGTGTTGAAGCCATCAGTCCTGGGATTTTCTTTGTGGGGAGGGTCTTTATTACTGATTCGAGTTCTGTCTTAGTTATTTGTCTGTTTAGGTTTTCTATGACTTTATGGCTCAATTTAGGTGGGTCATATAGCCTAGGAATCTATCCATTTCTTCTAGGTTTCCAGTTTTGTTGGCATATAGTTCTTTTCTGATCATTCTTTATGTGGTGTCTGTTGTTACATTTCCTTTTTCATCTCTGATTTTGTTAATTTGGGTCTTCTCCCTCCTATTTTTGGTTAGTTGGGCCAGTGGCAAGTCAATTTTATGTATTTTTTTGAAAAACCAGCTCTTTGTTTTGCTGATCTTTTGTATTATTTTGTTGGTTTCGACTTTGTTGATTTCTTCTCTAATTTTAATTATATCTTTTTTCCTGATAGTTTTGGGTTTGGTTTGCTGTTGTTTTCTAGATCCTTGTGATGCATTTATAGCTCATTTATTTGGTAGCTTTCCAATTTCTTGTTGTAGGCTCCAATTGCTACAAACTCTCCTCTTAACACTGCTTTTGCTGTATCCCATAAGTTTTGATATGTTTGTTGTCATTTTCATTTGTCTCCAGAAATTTTTTGATTTCTTCAGTGACCCACTGTTCTTTCAGGAGCCTGTTGTTCAGTCTCCATGTGTTTGCATATGTTCTGGGGATTCCTTAGTTGTTGATTACCAGTTTCATTCCATTGTGGTCTGAGAAGATGCATGGTATGATTTCAATTTTTTTGAACTTGCTGAAACTTGTTTTATGGCCTAGCATGTGATCAGTCTTAGAGAATGCCCCATGCATTGGTGAGAAGAATGTGTGTTCTGTGACTGTAGGGTGGAATGCTCTGTAAATAGCTGTTAGGTTTGTAGTGTTGATTAAGACTGTTGTTTCCTTACTGATTTTCTGTCTGGTTTATCTGTCCATTGCTTAAAGTGAGTTATTGAAGTCCTCCATTACTATTGTATTTGAGTCTTTGTCTTCTTTTAAATCCATTAAATTTCATTAGACAGGTGCCCTGTAATTAGATGCATATACATTCATAATAGTCACATCTTCCTGTTGAATTGATCCCTTAATCATTATATAGTGCCCTTCTTTTTCTCTTTTAATAGTTTTTGTGTTAAAGTCTATTTTGTCTGATACTGTGATGACTATACCAGCTTTTTTGGTTTCTGTTCTGTGGATTGTTTTTTTCTGTCCTTTCCCTTTCAGTCTGCAAGCATCTTTGTTGGTGAGGTGTGTTTCTTGTAGGGAGCAAATAATTGGGTTTTCTTTTTTAATCCATTCAGCCAGTCTGCCTTTTAATTGA